TAAGATCCTGAAATTTTAACAATAAATAACTAAAAATTTAAAAAAGAATTTATGCTTTATAACTTTAGAAATTTTATATATTAACTTTTTCTGAAAGCAAGATGCACCCATGTAATATTTCTGTACTAAATATTTACTATCTTTAACAAGCTAAAATGTGTTTAGGCTTTTTTTCCCCATGGGAAATATGTTTAATTGTCTTGTAAAAACATTTTCATTGTAGTAACAGATAACTAACATAGAATTTGCCATTTTAACCATTTTACCTATATAATTCAGTGGCATTAAGTACATTCCCAATGTTGTGCAAACGTCACCACTATCCATTAGCAGAACTTTTTCTTTTTCTTTTTTGAGACAGAGATTCAGTCTGTGGCCCTGGGTGGAGTGCTGGGGAGTCCTAGCTCACAGCAACGTCAAACTCCTGGACTCAAGTGAGCCTCTTGCTTCAGCCTCCTGAGTAGCTGGGACTACAGAAGGCCCCTATGATGTCTGGTTAAGTTTTCCATTTTTAGTAGAGACAGGGTCTCACTCTTGTTTAGGCTTATCTTGAACTCCCACACTCAGGGACCCACCCTGGCCTCCCAGAGTGCTAGGATTACAGGCGTGAGCCACCATGCCCAGCTGTTTACAGATTTTTTTCTTCATCCCAAATAGAAAGTCCAAACTGATTAGATAATAACTCCCCCTTTGTCAGTATCCACAATCCTATTCTGTACCTATGAATTTACCTGTTGTAGATGTGTCGGGTACTATGTTTTCCTCTTATCTCCAAACTCCAATCGTGAAACACACTCAGGTTGAGACTGATTCAGAGCTATCATGTTAGAAAACCCAAACCACACCAATGTGTCTACCAATGTTAAATGCTAAATATCTGAAAACTGCAAGTTGGAACAAATCTACATTGACATTCTATGGAAAATATCACTGATATCATAATAATAAAATGACTAATGGGTTTTAAGGCCATTGGGAGCGTTTTATAGAAAGCTCCACAAATACCAATTTCTTACCTGCAGTGAACAATCATAGGTGTGGTGTCATGCGCTCTGCTTGCTCGAACCAACTTCACAAAGTGAATTAGAGGAGCACTGTTTTCAGGAACGCCATGCTCAGGCCAAGCCGTAAAGTTACACTGTCGAACAGTCATGCAATCCCCATGCTAGACAGAGTACAGATTCATGAAGGAAAAAATTATTTGAGTATCACAATGAAGGTTGAAGATAGTGGACAGTCCAAATTTTAAGTCGTTTTAAAAATGACTGTTTACCAAATTAAACAAAGTTTGTTTGCATTATTTCCTATAAGGAAGATCTTTTATTGTTACAATAAAGCGAAGTTGGCCAGCCCTGGTGGCTCATGCCTGTAATCCCAGCACTCTGGAAGGCTGAGGCAAGTAGATTGATTGAGACTGGAAGTTCAAGACCAGCCTGGGCAAGAGAGAGACCCCATCTCTACTAAAAATAGAAAAACTAGCAAGGCGTCCTTGTGAGCACCAGTAGTCCCAGTTACTCAGGAGGCTGAGGCAGGAAGATTACTTAAGCCCAAGAGTTTGAGGTTGTTGTGAGCTATGATGTTGCCATGGCACTCTACCCAGGGTGACAAAGTGAGACTCTCAAAAAAAAAAAAGTACAAAAAAGAAAACTACCTTTCAATATTAAGGAAAGCAACAAGAAAGCTTGCCAACAGATGTTAGAGCGGTCATATCCAAGTAGAGTAGAATATTTTGTAGCACTCAGGTTAATAGTTTATGATATAATTTTGACCCCAAATTTAAACACATTCACAAATTATTCAAAACACAGGTATTGAGGGTCCTACATGTCAGACAGTATAAGGATGTTTGTATCATTTTCTGTGTGTATAGCTATTTCATAAATCAGTAAATTGGGATCCTGCATGCTTCTGAATTCATTCTGGATTGCAAAGAAAATCAAATTGTTAAGATTCATAAAGAGACGGATAATTTGAAAAGTTGGTCTCCAGTCAAACATTACAGTTTCTTCATTAACTAAATGAACCTAGTCAGCAGGTTACTTTTCCTCCTTTTCCCGCTCTTTTTAAAACACTAATTGGTTAATATACAATTTACCCAAGTAATTTTGGAATTAAACACAATGGCAGACACTGCAGTCAGATATCCAGTGAAAATTCTGTTTAGAAAACAATAGAAGTATTGTTGAATACATATGAGGACCTCGAAAAGCATAGGTCCAGAAGTTAATGTTTCATTACATATACAGATCACCCACATCTTATGTCATGTTCCTGCACCCCGTTTGTTTTACCCTTTCAATTTTGAGATCCCGGATGGTCCAATCTATTTGAACATCCTCCATTAGCTTTGTAATCACTATATCTCCAAAGACAGTAACTGGCTTGTTGTCCTCCGGCCAATATTGATGGCATCTGGTCTGCATTCAGAGAAAATCCCGTCATCAGAGTCATTGTTACAGAGCAGAGTTATTGCCAATATGTCAGAATAGCTTTACAGATACCTGAGTTGTTAATGATTCACAGTTCTGGCTGAAATATTCCTACATATTTTGACACAACTTTTGAAAAGATTTTGTATTAACTTACCCGTCCTTTTTCAAAACACTGGGTTAACATTACTAATGTTTTTGCTCTAGTCTCCCACACCATTCTCCAAAAATCTCCAACTGTTCCTGGTAGTGGACCTTGAGTGGCAATAAACTCATTGGGACATAAATAGCCCTAGAAAGACAAAATTACACACATTGCTTCACTAGTTACACAGCTAGAGGTTTTATTTTTCAATCAATACATGAAGAAGTAGACTAGTTATTGAACGACACGATACTTCAAAACATTGTATATTTTAACATTCTAGAGAATCTGAAGTAAAAAAATTCCAATGTCTAATTTTCATCTCCTATCATACATCAATATATATACAGTAGAGGGATTGGTGGATCATAGACTAGTTTTATTTTTAGAATGTGAGGAACCTCCATACTATTCCCCATAGTGGCTGTAGCAGCCAAAGTTCCCACAAATGATATATAAGAGTTTCCATTTCTCTGAATCCGTGGAAGCATTTATTTTTTGTTTTTTTGATAAATCATTCTAATTGGGGTGAGGAGACATTGAATTCTGGTTTTGACCTTCATTTTGCCAATGATTAGTGATGTTGGGCAATTTTCCACGTACATGTTGGACATTTGTATGTCTTCTTTTGTTATATTTCTATTTGGCTCATTTGCCCATTTTTAAATTTGATTATTTGGGTTTTGCTGTTGAATTGAGATCCTTATATGTTCTGGATATTAATCTCTGATTGGGTAACTTGTGTGCAAATATTTTCTCTGATTCTGTATGTTGTCTCTTCATTTTTTGATTGTTTGCTACACACATACTTTTTTGTTTGATATAAACTCGTTTGTCTATTTTGCTTTTGTTGCCTGTGCTTTCAAGTCTGAGGTGAATAGATGTGCAGGGAATACCAGGAATTTACATTGACATATTAAACTCAAAATAGCTTTTAGATATTCGAGTGAGAATGGCATGAATGCAATTAGGCATGTGAGTTTAGAGTTTGGAAGAAATCCAAACTAGAGACATAAATTTGAAAGCACATATCTCTTAAAGCCACAAGAATGGATGGGATCACCCAGGAAATGAGTTTGGATGGAGCAAATACAAGGATTGAATTCTAGATCATTTCAATGTCTGGAGGTCTAGGTGAAGAGAAAGAAGCAGTAAGACTAAGATGAAAGAAAGC